GCAAAAAAATATTGATATTTTAAAAAATTCTAAAAAATAAACTAATTGTTTTAGATAAATATTTTTATCATCAAAATATTTCTTTTAATTTAAAAATTGGCTATTTTGAATTTTTCCAACAAAAATTTAATCAAATTTAAATTTTTTATATTGCGCAAGGGTCTCTTTATAATAAACAAAAAAAAATATTAATTAGAACAAAAGTTATTCTAAAGGTCAGTTCTATCTTAGACCCTGTATATATATATAATATATATATATATTATATATGTCTATGGTCGTATCTAAACATACAACGTTTTCGTTGGAAATTTATATTTCGCGAAATTATAAAAATAATTAATATTTAATATCTTTGGAACACTAGTCAGACATAAATATGATCGTTTTAATGGGAAATACAGAAAAATATTATTTATCAGATGATGGTGAAATCTCAATATTGACAAAAATCGAGATACGAGTATACGACCTTCTTCCTAGGGGCCATCGAATTAAGTTTTGCTTCAAATAGCTATAGAGAAAATTTGAATCGTCATTATAGGAAAATGTTTTGCGCGTAAATAGAAAATAGCTCATATAGGTTGCCGCTCATAGCCTCCATTAGGGGATCTTGTAATTGATGAGTGAAACATATTATAAATGAAAAAGTATACTGATTTAAAAAAAAAATCCTACCTAAATATCTAAATATATGTTACCATTTATGGAAAAATAACTATCTTCGGAATATTCTACCACTTATAATATTAATATCATAAGGCTTAAATAACTAGTTGTTTCTGTGGAAAAGTGATTGGTTTTTTCAACGTATCTATTATTTAAAATAACATAACAATATTTTGTTTATAACCGTTTTTTATTCTTGTATATTCTTATGTTCATATACAAATTAGAAGTAATATTTTCATATTTTTTTTTGATTATAATAATGATAATGTTTCATATAATATTTTTTCTATCCATTATAAATATTTGTTCTACGATCGTGGTCAATTATGATTTATTAATTGCTGATATGTCATTTTATAATCAAACACTGATGTTTGCGTTATGTGAAAATAAGAAAAATGGTAAAGATATGTTGCAGTTAATCGAAAATCTAATGGCGTACGATGGTATTTTAGTCAAAGAAAAAAAATTAGTAAATGAATGCATATCTGAGTCCCAAATTCTTATATATTCAATGATGATAATATCCAAAATCAACTGTTTTGGATTTTTTGTCACTATTTTATTTATGATAGCGAGTTATCCATACAATTTTTACTTGAAGATAAAAAAGACAACAAATATAAAAATAAATTAGACAGCATTTGTTAAGAATCTAAATCGAAAACATTTGAAACCACAAACTTATTATATTATGTTACAATACTATTCTTATTGATAATTTTACCATCTATGAATCAATCAATATGTTTTACAGATCTTTAAATGTTGTAAAGTAAGTAAACATTTAAAAATGAATATTACATGGTTATATGATTATTGAAAATCAATTATTTTTGTTAATATATTGCTTAATTGGTCGTAATTTTATAAACAGTAACATAAGCGGTGATACGCATTCAAAACTCAATACCATTCACGACACTTGTTTATTCTTGATGTGCTTACAACGCTATTTTTTAGTAGTTAAATATTTATGTAGTTTTAAATATATTTAGTCATGCGGACTATCTATAACGAACTTATTATGAGTACCTAAGTAGGTACTTAGTTATATTTAAAGTATACATTTCAAAATTTCCGCAGGTAAAATATAATTTGACTTTGAAATTCAATTGATAATTTTAACTGGCTTTAATATCAGTTCATGGAAGACATTATTATCAATTCAAAAATAATAAAGACTACGTATCTATTAAAAGTGTATACAACATACAATTTTAGAATTATACGCTATAGTAAATTATTACTTATTAACTACTCGTGTTATAAATAATCAGATAAAAAGGCGAAGAGCACTGCTGTAAAATTATAACTGCAACGATTCACCTAAAAACTCTGGGTGCAAAGTATTGACAGTGATACCTCATAGACGTCGGTATATGATCTCATAGCAAACTTTTACGGTGTACATCTGTCATAAGTCAATCAGATGTTTGTAAAATCATAAAAAGTACTTCACAAAATCAAAAATTCTAATAAGTCAAGGGGCTATATGCAGTGTTTGCAAAGAACATCGTTTATGAACGCATGTTCACACGTCTACGTTCATAATTAGTGAACGATACGCGAACGTAGCTCATTTTTTTAAAATAGAACTTGAACKTGAACGACGTTTTATATTTTTAATGAATTTGAACGATTTTGAAGACGCTCAATTTATTTAATATTTAGGTAATAAATATAATATGTATGTTTAATGTATATAATTTAAATACTTAGAAAATGTATATGCTCTAAAGTCTAAATTGTTTTTATTTCTGGGTTGAGACCTACATATTTATGGGTTTTTATACAAACTGCTGGTAAACTATTTATAAACAAAAAATTAGATGAACAACCTTATGAACATGATCATTTTTTCAAAGAACGTGAACGTGAACCCTGAACGAGTTCCTTTTTTAAGGACTGAACGTGAACGTGAATGAATTCATTTTTATTAATGTTACAATATTATAACATGCTGAATAGAACTCTGAATAGCCATTATATTATACATAATACTTTGTTCTACGGTAAATCTGTCCAGGCGCTGCGGTTGTGGCCAAATTCGTGAACAGAATATCATGCGCCATCTAGTATTTTAGCACACGTCCTTAGTTTGATGATCGCTAAACATAAAACTGCCGTTGTCCATTCTGCCGTATATCGTTTGCGGATCAAATATCTCTATATGTACGACCTGCTAGTGATCTGTTGTGTGACATACGTCCGAAAAAAAGCCATATGGCGTCCCGAAAAATTTTTAAACATATATTACTCATAACTCTGCCCGGCCACTGACCCAGAAGAATCATGCCATGTAATTTGTGCGAACATGAAAAGATACACTTTCCAACATGTATATGAGTATTGACCAATTAAAAAGGGTCTCTGCCACGTTTGTCTACGAATGCTAACAATTTGACTGCTGGAGTATTTTTATAAGGTTTTTCTCAAACGCCATGAGTACCATTACTGGTACTCACTGGTTTCGTCACGTACGCCGATGTATTTTTGGACAGATTACACCATAGGCCTTGGGTTTTTTTCCATATTTCTAATAATTTTCTCATCTTATAAGCTTATTGGTATAATTGTATGTTTATTTTAAGAAAAATAAACCGATTCCTAGTAAGTATCAGTCATGGTAATGGTACTCAATGCCAATAGTATATTTGAATAGCCCGTAGGTACTGTCATATTATTTTCCATTTCATTTCACATTGACTCATTTACGATGCGCGACGATTGATGTATAATATACAATGGAGAACGATGAAATTATTGATGCTCTTTTTATGTCATTTGATGATGATTTATCTGACTTTGGCGATGATTCGGATGCAGACCTAGACTACACTTTGGTATGTTTTTATTATTATTATTTATTTATGATTCATATATTTAGGTATCGAGTACCATGGGCGATATAAGAAACCCTAGACGTCACAGAGAGGCTCTATAATAATGCTTTTTCATTAGCCTATTTGAATTCCCCGCCAGATTGTTATATAAATTATAAATTTGCTATTTATATATTTTATAACATAATTATGAGCACTATGATTTGTGAACTTTTATTCTGCTATTTTAACAATTAATTAACATGAGTCTAAAAAGCATTTTGGTGGAAATTAATAGTATAAACACTAATTTGCATTGCAAATTAGTTGAAGATGAAAATGAAAAACAAAATGTGATACGTTGCAATTTGAACAATGCTGAAGAGGTTGCAGAATTTCCACAGCTATTTCAAGAAAAAACTAGTACACATTGGATTGTCAATGGGCACTGGGTAATTACAAAAACCAGAAAAGTAAGTTAAGTATTATAATATGTAGTTACTTAATGCATATTAATTAGAATGAATAGACTGATAATACCCAAGTGTAATGGATATGGAATATACATATACATAATAAATATTCAATTTAGTTTATTTTAGTTATATTTAACAAATCATTACAGGTCAAACCAAAAATTATTAGGTACCAATCAACTTAATATTTATTATATAATATTATAACAGAATAATATACAATGTATGATGATATAATATTATATTACAGTTTTAAATAAATTTTAGTTCTTAGATAAAAATAATTCAAAAAACTTAAATATTAATTTTTATTATTGTGCATTTGCTATGTACTGACGTCAGACACCAGTCC